GTGATGGAAAATGCACACGCACTTTAGCCAAAGTGTCATTTAGACATTTTCAGACTTAAAATCGACGAATGAATATATATACCTTACAAGCATGGTGAACAATGTGCTCGGCCAAAACCCTCACCATGCCCATAGGTCGAGGCCAAGTAACTCAGTCAATTCTGAGTGGATCTGTCTGAGTCTAAGGACATTGTTATTTTACCTTTTTCAACTTTCTTTTGTCAAGTAGAATACAAATTGTTGTTCCTTTACCGAAAATGTTAACTTGTGTTGAATGCAAAAGAGTTGCAAAAAGGAGTCAGACAACCCACACAATGGGTTCTCATTATAGCTTTCGAAAAATGTGTGTCTAAGTAATGTATACAAAATGGGTGTTAGTCCCGTACACATGAATATACAGAAAAGAAGTTACAGTCTAAGCATAAAAAAAAACAAAAAAAGGGACCAGAGCTCAAAACATTGCCAAGTAGGTCCCGCTTATAGGAGTATCTACTGCGATTCCAAAACTAGCACCAACTCTAGGTAGACTATATGCATTGTGGTTCGCTTCGTGCCACATATGTCAATAAGAGATGCACATATGCCATGTACATATCCTCCAATGATTGAACAAGTGGTCAAAAGTATGGTTGAGTCGCCAGGGGCATGAGGATTTTCTTTTTCACCCAGGAAATGATGTTTTTGGTCTTCCCTTCCACCATCAAATAACCAAACCAGCCTCCTTGACTCCTCTAATCCCCTCTAGAAGGGTCATAGCCTCAATGATAGTGGAGTCCATGATGCCAATGAACCCAAAATGGGACAATAAATTGTTGCCGTCGTGATCTCTGAAAAGATGTCAACGCCTGCCCAACCAGGGTTGCCAAGGGAGCAATCATCGAGACTGAGCTTAATAGAGCCTTGTTCTTGGGGGGGGGGGGGGCAAGATCAAGGAATGTGGGGCGGCACAGTTTGGTCTGCTAGTTCTGAAGAAAGTCATTGGCAGAAAAATGTCTAAACCTTTGAGAGTTTGTGGCCCATAAAATAACTGAAGTCTTGATCATGTCCATTATAGTCATGATTGAGCTTTCTCTCCCCCTCAAGTTTTTTTTGGTTCCTTTCCTTCCAAATTTGCTGTCTGGAAAAAGAACAAGCCCTTAGGAGGCCATAGGGGAGGGACGAGAAGCTCCCAAATAGGTGTGGATGGAAGATGGAATGACCCATTGGCATCAGAATATAGATTATTGTTATTGCAATTGAGATTTCCTTAGTCAACCTATTGTTCTTGGTTTCTTAATCAGGGAAATAACCTCATGGTTTTCTGTATGTTTCCCCTCCTTGTTTCTTCCCTTGGTTCCAAACTCAAAATAACATCCATGGCAAATTGTTTTTGGACGTTTTCTCTTCTTCGTTTATTATAATTTGGTTTCCGTAGACAGACTCAATAGAAAATGCTCTCACATTAAACAATCATGATATGAACTTCTCAAAAGTTGATGCAGGAAAACATAGTAAAGAGGCCAAAAATAGTTCAATAACCATCAAAACAGGTCAGATTTGAGTAGATTTGGCTTTCCTTGTACAAAGGAGTGACCCTAAAACCCTAGATAGGACTTGTTACTATTCACTATCATGTTTTTACTGTTCATGCCCCAAAAGTGTTAGAAACCCTAATACTCCAGGCCCTTTTATTATATTATAATAAAAGAAAGATCAAAACTACCCCACTTAAGTTAAAACATCATAAAAATACCCCATAAGTCTTCACTTAAATTAAAACGTAAAACGTCCCTAAACTGCCCGTAATTTAATTACAATATTGGAAAGCACTAAAAGTTTGTAAAAACATCAACAAACTAAAAATAAATTTCTTCAAAAAGTCGGCCTCCTCCTCCTGGATCTCCTTGTGACCTTGGGATGTGGATCATCATAATTGGAGTCATCAAAAGATGGATTGATTGGGTCAAAAGGCTTATGAGAACGTTCTTGACTAGTCGAAGGACTGCTTGGCGCATCATTCTCCTTGAGTTGGAAGAACTCGATTTAAAGCTTTGCTCTTCTTATATTGCTACTTAGTGTTCGTGGCACTCAAAAAGATCAACAACATTGAACACATTCGAGGTCTCAATCTTGTTGTATTTGCCCACAGGATGCCTATCTTTGCATAGATAAACCATCATCGAATCATCCACCTGAAACTCCTTGAGTCGTGTGTCTTTATCTGCAGCTTCCTTGTACTTGGTAGTGTCAATTCACAATATTCGGTTTGAGAGAGCCCTTGTGTTTAGAGGAGGATTTGTATTAACCCATTTCAAACCTCGAGGGCTAGTTTGTCTAACTAGGGGAGAATGGAGATCAAGAGCTTGGTGATTCAAAAAATTTATTTTATTTTTTTAATTTCATGGATGTGGGTGTAAGTTTTATTTTTTTTATTAGGATTAATTTTTCAGGAATTATAATACGGGCCTAATCTCCCACACTAAGTTACTATTTTTATTTTTATTTTTTTATTATTCATGAGTACGGTTCATGGGTTACCATTCATGGGTACTATGCATTGGGGTACTTTGGAATTTTAGTATTGTTTAAGGGTATTTTAGATTCTAAAATTGTTTACTTGGATCTCAAGTTAATTTTAGAGCAAATTACGTACAGACACTCTTTTTGAACAGGGTTTTTTTCTTTCGTCCAAATCAATTTCTCTCCCTAGAAAAAAACCCAATTCACCTTCATTGAAGGTCTAGGTTGGGATGAGGTTAGAAGGTTCAGGTTGGGATGAGGTTAGAGTGAGTGAGCAGGATGTATGGGTTTGTTGCAGTCGGCCTCACATTTCGCAGTGGGGACTCAAAGTCGCCATTATTCAGGAGGAGATCTACGCTTAGAACAAACACTTGTGTTTTGTGATTACTGGTGCTGATTTCTTTGTGTGTGTGTGTGTGTGTTTCGAGGGCATGAATTTAGCTAAGGTTCGATTCCATGGGCAAATATTATCTTCTCTCTCTTAAACCTTTCTTGCAATATCTACAGGTAGGTGGCTTCTAATTTCAAATCATTTTTGGAAGAGTTCGATTTTTGAGGAGGATTGAATCCTTTAATTTCAAATCATTTTTGGAAGAGTTCATCTTTGAGGTTCCATAGAGGATTGAATCAAGTCCAATCAATTATGTTCTAATCAGATGATTGCCATTGAGGAGAGGAGCCATTTGAGAAGATTGGAGTGAACATTAAAATTTTATGTTTTGTCAAAGGGAGAGATTTCTCTTCAGTTTCTCTCTCTAACATTACCCTCTCTTTTTTTCTTTGGAAAAAACCCGTCTTTCTGATCTTCTTGGCTGCTTGTTATTTTATTTTCATGGGGTTATGGGAACCTTGAAAAGCTTTTGGAGGTAATAACGTTTTTGTGTAAGAGATGGGGGCTCCCAAGGTTTCATAAAGCCCAAATAGCTGTCCGGTATTTAGATCACCAGATAGCAAAACCCAAGTTTAACACCTTGTTGTTTGGTGTTTGCATTGTCGGACAGAGGGACAACTTAGGGAAAAAAAATTACCCCGCGGGGAAGGGGGTAGTGCTTGTAATTTCAGGCAAATGAGTGCCTATTTGGTAATTGACCCCCTCCAATAGTGTTCGTACGTAATTTGCTCTTAAGTTTATAGGACGCCGCATTATGGGATGCTTATGTTTTTGGAAAAAAATTTCTTTATGAAAGAAGAAAGTTCTTCTCTTGGCTTGATTTACAGCATGCTTCCTCTCTATTATTGTTGATTTTTACTTGTTTGAGGTTAGGGAAAACATTACATTTAATTTCCCACCTTTCCTTCCTACATCAATGACCCATAGAACGGAGACACCTGTGAGCATCGACTTCAAACTTCTAATCATGTTATAGAGTATTTATTTAGTGTGTGCCTTCATGATTCATCCAAGTATTATCATGTTTGTTTTGCTTTGGCCAATGAAACTAAAGACCGCAACTTCTGCCTTAGGTTATGGGGAAGCACTTACCGAAAAAATCTCAAGTAACTATCATGTCTATTTTCCTTTCAACTAATTGCAGCACCTTTAGAACCCTTAACTGTCGACTTGTTTTCCTTCTGTTTTTTTTCATTCGCAGACATTTTGTCTAGAATCCTCAAGGATCTAGAAATGTTCGGCTATCTTGTTTTTTGCTTTTATTTAGTTTCTACCACTTGGCCATAATTCCTATGGACAAGAAAACTCCCCAAAGGGTTAAAGGAATCCTGTTGGATGAGCACTTCCAAGATGGTTTTCGTTGAAGTACCTTAAGATGACGGTGCTAAGGGGCCTCTTTAAAGCAGAGGACTATGAGGAGCCTTAAATGTTCGATTGTACTTCCAACCAAGGATTCTATTCTCTTCTATCTGCCAATGTTAACCTAGCACATTTCAGTTGGGCTATAAAACATCAACTGGAAATCAAACATTAATGGAATGCTTTGATGGATTTATGCAAATCACAAACAAATGGTGTAGGATCTGCTTGTTGCAGCAACAAAAATTTCAAATGTATTCCTTGTCTTTTGCAGTATAAATAATGTACTAAACACAAAATATCTCGGGCATTTTCTTTGGCACCATAAGAACTAATAAGCCCAGGCGTGGCTAGCAGTTTCATCATTGTCCTTTGAAAGGTAAATTCAGTCATCATCGTGCTGGACAAACTCAATTGCAAGGCAATTGTTTGTCTCTACATTTGTTTTCTGCATTGGATATAATTTTTTAAATTATCCTTGCATACTAGGGAGACCTGTTGAATGGTCATCCCTAATGAATTATTGAGGACGAGGCTTGAAAATCAAATGAAATACCTTCATCTGGCGTTCATGTTATTTTCAAATATAAGGAGTGTTTTATACATTTGTTGCATTCGACTGGTAATTTCATTCATAAAGAATAGATCTGCATGTGTAGAACCTGGAAAATTGACTTACCCTTAATTGCATATATGTTCACAGTTGCACGTTTTATAATATCTTAAGATTGCAATACTGTTGTCACTGCAGATGAAGGCTCTGGATACACTTGGGCGTTTGGAGGTGACAAAGCATGAATTATCACATGAATCAAAGGTTTTCTTCCCTTCCTCCTCCCTCCCTCCATTTAACACCCCTCCCCCCCGCCATCTCTCTCTCTCTCTCTCTCTCTCTCTCTCACCTACTTATTCGAATACTATCAAGATTTTTAAAATCGTACTTCTCAATATACTATCAAGCAGTTTGGAAAATTTACTCGTGTACATTGTTTATTGTAGTCATTCAAAAATAGCAATCCTTCCTCTTGGGATGCAATGAAAGCTTCTAACTAGTATATCTAGTTTTGGGATTGATCACCTTTAAGCTATCAGGTCCTAGTTTTTCATTCAATTTCAGGTTATTTGCTTCTGAATTTCTAGACAACTTTTAAAGGATTTCTTTCTTAACCTCAAAGGGGCTACACTTGGAAATTTTTTATTCAAGCTCGTCGTATATGTATTTCAACTGCCCCGAGGAACACCCGGGGGAGGGGTTTTTTGAAGTTGGGGGTTGTACAAAGAGATTGAGGGGAAATTTTGATTGCTGAAGAATAGGTAACATGGAACTCTTCCAACAGCCCTAATACAGATCTGAAATCATTAATCAACGGTTATGATCTGTCTTCATAATGGTTTTTTCGATGCAGCTCTCCCTTCGGCTTCTGAATTTATGTTCTTAATGCAGACAACTCTACTTTATTTATTTTCTTTTTTCTTCTAGACAGAATATCATTTTAATTCTGTCCAGCAAAAAAAGGAAACATAATTAAAGAAGAGTTGTCTGCATCAAGACATTCTTTTCTTGTTCAAAATGTCAAATGTACACCTCACATGTGACACTTTCACCGTGTGTGTGTGACCAAAAAATGTAAAAGATAGAGAATGGACAACAATAGTTCCGACTTTGCAGCTGCAAGAAGGCCCTCAATAATTTGTTTAGATGTTCCTTGCCACAACTACAGCCTTTTGCTGCATCATCTAATGTTTTTTGACCCACTTTTGTTGATTTACATCAGTCTTATGCTCTGCACCTTTTCCACCTGATTCACATGTTTATTATTGGAGTTTGGTGCCATTTGTAGTTTATGTGTCATAAAATTTAGTTGTTTATAGTACTGAAACTCTTTATCTCTTTGTTTAAATGCTTAATGCTATTTAAGCACAGGAACAAACTGAGAAATCCAATATGCAATATTTTTCCTACTCATGTGTTGGGCACTCACTATTTGAAATCTGAACTCGTAGCCACTATTTATTTTTCTCGACCACTCTAAAGAACAAAGGGACCATACATTCTTGAGTTCAGATGTATTTTTGATAAACAATGAGAATTAGGATTATTTGTAACATGTAATTTTCTTGCATTGCCTGCTTAATAACCAGGATCGAGGTATAGTTCCAGTAGAAGCTGAACATGCTCTTCTACAGTGCATATCGGCTGTGAAAGAGGTGATTGTATTCTTTATAAAATTTTGGATGGGTTTCAGACCCTAAGTGTGTGTGTGTGAGACAGAGAGAGAGAGAGATTTATATGTTCACTTCTTTGTGTTTACTTATTGCTTGCAGTTCGACATTCCTGAGCACGTACTGAGTGCTTCTGATGTTAAAAGGGAGTATCTCTCCTGCATGAGGGATCTTGAAGCCCTTCTAAGTGAGAGCACTGGCGAGAAAAGACAACAATCGGCCAAAAAGCTCCAGGAACTTAGAAATGAAATTAGGCAGATTGAGTCAGAGCTGTCGCGCAGCAGGAAGAAAGGAACTTAATGCATTTCATGCTTTTGAAATCAAGGATCTTGTTGCTCCAGTTACGCAAACATGTATCTATGTACTGTGATGGGATTTTTTTTTTTTGTTATTTCATCAGCACCTTAAATTTATATTGTTATAAATGAGGACTAGAATAATTTGAAGTCTATGCATGCCCTTTGTGGCCTTTGATGTTCACGCATCAATTTCTACAAAATTGCAAAGGTGAATGCAATTGCTATTTCCAACCCAAACTTGAAAAAGATGTTAAGGGATCTGAGAAATATTTCAGAACTTCAAATGAACAATTCATTTGGCAACGGATTTTAATGTTGGGTTGGGTTTCTCATGTGGAGGATGGCCCAAAGTTCATCTTTTTTTGGGTGAAGCTCATATAGAGTAAATCCCATATGGAGTAAGGGCATTTCAATCATTTTGTCCATTATATGTTAAATGAGAGTTTTCCTCCTTCGTTTTCAACAAGTGAGATTAAGAGAGAGAGAAGAGGGGAGAGGAGAAAATTCTAGGTTTTTGAGGCATTGTGCCGTCATCATCAAGAGCTCGATCGGATGGTCATTCGTGGTTCGATCAACCTGAAATTTTAACAGCAGGTTCGCAACACATGGTTCTTCATTCTGATCGGTGTGATTGATGTTTGGAGTTCTCTAACTCAGTTTTACAGGTTTTTGCTGCCTCTGTTTTGGTGAGATCTCTTCAATTTTCTCTTTTTGGAGTTCATCTTGTTTATGATATTGTCAAGAATATATTGTTCTTGTTGTATGCCTCTAGTTTTAACTAGAGAAGACTCTTGTCTATTTTCATTATTTGTTGATAGTGGAAGCTTTGGGTGGACTACGGTCTCGTGGCTTTTTTTCCTCACTTTGGAGAGGTTTTCTATGTAAAAATTGATGGTGTTTATGTGTGCGTTTGTGATGCATTTGGATGTTAATTTGGAAGCTTAATAATTGCCTTTAATGTGTTTGATATATTGCTATCTACTTGATTATTTTTTATTAGGTTCACTCAAGAGGGGAAGAATTGTTTTGTTCTGTTGTGCTCGTTGATCGGGTATCACTCTGTTTGTCTTTCTCCCCAATAAAGTGGAATCAGAGCATTGTGGTTGTTGAATTTAGGCTTTGTGATTGCTGAATTATTTATCTTGGGTTGAACAATGGAAACTAATACAAGTAGAATGGTTACTTTAAATGGTTCAAATTATCATGTTTAGAAAGGAAAAATGGAGGACCTTCTTTATGTGAAAGATTATTATCTACTGGAGAAACCCGTTAATAAGATCGATGGGGAATGAAATATATTTCATCGGCAAGTGTGTGGGTACATTAGACAATGGGTGGATGATAATGTGTTGAACCATATTAGTGGAGGGACATATGCACGCACTTTATGGTCCAAGCTCGAGCAATTGTATGCTCGAAAGACCGGGAATAATAAACTACTTTTTATCAACAGATGATGACTTTGAGATACCAAGATGGAACTCCGTTGACATATCACTTGAATTTATTTCAAAGAATCATTAATCAGTTGGCCACGATGGGTATCAAGTTTGATGAAGAAATACAAGGATTATGGTTTCTTGGTACTTTGTCGGACTCGTGGGAGACGTTTAGGACGTCATTATCTAATTCAGCTCCAGATGGTATAATTTCGATGGATTTGGCTAATAGTAGTGTTCTGAATGAAGAGATGAGAAGAAAGTCACATGGTTCCTCTTCACAATCAGATGCTTTGGTCACTAAGAAAAGGGGGAGGAGTAAGAGCCGAGGTCCAAAGAATAGAGACAAGAGCAGAGGTAAGTCCAACAGGTTTGCAAATGTTGAGTGTTATCATTGTGGTCTAAAGGGTCATACCAAGAAGTATTGTCGAAAGTTGAAGAGAGAGAATAAAAAGGAAAAAGGTAAAGAAAATGAGAAAGATGATGACAGTGATGACGATCGAGTTGCCACTACTACCAGGGATTTTCTCATTGTATATGATACTGATGTTGTTAACCTTGCATGCCATGAGATAACTTGGGTGATTGACAGTGGTGCTTCCATTCATGCTATATCTCAAAAGGACTTCTTCACATCTTATATACCCGGTGACTTTGGGGTTGTAAAGATGGGCAATGATGGTTTGGCCAAAGTTGTTGGCATAGAAGATGTTTGTTTGGAAACGAATTTTGGCACAAGGTTACTTCTAAAGGATGTGAAACACGTTCCCGACATCCGTTTGAATTTAATTTCTACAAGTAAACTTAATGATGAGGGGTTCTGTAATACCTTTAATGATGGCCAATGGAAGCTCACCAAGGGTGCCATGATTGTGGCAAAAGGTAAAAAGTGTTTGATATTATACTTATTGCAGGCAAAGCTCTCCAAAGGCATCATAAATGCAGTGGAGAATGAGGGTACAATTGAGTTGTGGCACAAGAGACTCGGTCACCTGAGTGAGAAGGGAATGATGGTGTTGTCCAAGAAGAAGCTTTTATCTGGAATGAATGATACACATTTGAAAAATTGTGCTCATTGCTTGGCAGGGAAGCAGAAGATAGTTTCCTTCAAGAGTTCCCCTCCTTCAAGGAAGTCAAATGTACTTGATTTGGTACATTCTGATGTATGCGGTCTTATGAAGACGAGAACGCTTTGCGGCTATCTCTATTTTGTAACCTTCATTGATGATAATTCAAGAGCGTTATGGGTTTACACCTTGAAGACAAAGGATCAGGTGTCACATGTATTCAAGCATTTTCAGGTTTCAATTGAGAGATCGACTAGAAAGAAGTTGAAATGCATCCGCACAGATACTGGGGGAGAGTATTCAGGATCGTTTGATGATTATTGCAGAGAACATGGCATTCAGCATCAAAAGACACCTCTAAAGACTCCTCAGTTGAATGGTTTAGCTGAGAGAATGAACAGGACATTAGTAGAAAGAGTCAGATGTTGGCTGTCACAAGCAGGGTTGCCTAGATCCTTTTGGGGTGAGGCTTTGAGTACAGTTGTACACGTGTTGAATCTAACATCATATTTTCCATTACAATTTGATGTGCCAAATAGAGTTTCGACAGACAGGGATGTTTCTTATGATCATTTGCGTGTCTTTGGATACAAGGCATTTGTGCATATTCCCAAAGACGAGAGGTCTAAACTTGATATCAAGACACGACATTGTGTATTTATGGGTTATGGTTAGGACGAATTTCGCTACAGGTTATATGATCCTATTGAAAAGAAAATTATTAGAAGCCGAAATGTGGTATTTATGGAAGATCAAACCATACAGAATATTGATAAGATAGAAAAGATAATGCCTCAACATAGTGATGATTTGGTTGACTTGAATCCAGTTCCTCCAACATTGATGTCGGAACAGGTTGGAGATGAAGTTCAGAATGACCAGCAGGGTACAGGTGATGCAAGTGCTCCTATACAGGTTGAGACAGATGATGGTTTTCATGAGCAGTTGCCAGTACCAGAAGTTTCACCACCTGTTTCACTCAGGAGGTCTACTAGAGACTGACGGCCTTCCACACGGTATTCTACAGATGAGTATATATTATTAACTGACGGGGGAGAACCCGAGTGTTTTGAAGAAGCCATGGAAGATGAACACAAGAATGAGTGGGTTGAAGCCATGCAAGATGAGACGAAGTCATTGCATAAGAATCACAATTTTGAGATGGTGAAGTTGCTTAAGGGCAAAAGAGCTTTGAAGAATAGGTGGGTGTATAGGGTGAAGCAAGAAGAACACACATCACGTCCACGGTACAAAGCTAGATTGGTTGTCAAGGGATTCAGTCAGAGAAAATGCATTGATTTTGATGAGATCTTCTCTCTAGCTGTAAAGATATCATCCATTCGTGTGGTCCTTAGTTTAGCAGCTAGTCTTGACTTAGAGGTTGAGTAGATAGATGTGAAGATTGCTTTCCTTCATGGTGATTTGGAAGAAGAGATTTACATGGAGCAGCTAGAGGATTTCAAGGTGAAAGGAAAAAGGGATTATGTGTGCAGATTGAAGAAATGTCTTTATGGCTTGAAACAGGCACCGTGACAGTAGTATAAGAAGTTTGAGTCAATTGTGGGGAAGTAAGGCTACAAGAAAACTACTTTTGACCATTGTGTTTTTGTTCAGAAATTCTCTGATGATGACTTTATTATCCTTTTGCTCTATGTAGATGACATGTTGATTGTTGGCAGGAATGCTTCAAGGATTGACAGGTTGAAGAAGCAGTTGAACAAGTGAAAGACTTGTGGCCAGCAAAACAGATTCTTGGCATAAAAATCATCCGAGACAGGTATGCCAAGAAGCTGTGGTTATCACAAGAGAAGTATATAGAAAGAGTGCTTTAAAGATTCAAGATGGACAAAGCAAAAGTGGTTAGCTCTCCTCTTGCTAGTTACATTAGACTGAGCACCAAGCAGAGCCCTTCTACTGATGAAGAGAAGAAAACATGGAAAGAGTTCCATTTGCCTCAGCAATGGGAAGTTCGACGTATGCCATCGTTTGCACAAGGCTAGACATAGCTCACGCAGTTGGCATAGTTAGTCGCTTCCTCTCAAATCCAGGAAGAGAGCATTGGAATGCAGTCAAGTGGATTATGAAGTATCTTCGAGGCACTTCGGGGATGTTGATTCCCGTAAGTCTACTTCGGTTTAATTGATCACCTTCTTAGGTGGAGTCGTAGCTTGGCAATCAAGATTACAGAAATGTGTTGCACTTTCTACCACTGAGGCATAGTGCATTGCAGCAGTGGAAGCCTGCGAAGAGTTGCTATGGATGAAGAGGTTTGTACAGGAGCTTGGCTTCAAACAAAAGCGGTATGTGTTGTTTTGTAATAGTCACAATGCTAACCACCTTTGTAAGAATTGCACTTTTCATGCTAGATCAAGGCATATTGATGTGAGGTATCATTGGATAAGAGATGTTTTAAATTCCAAATCGCTAGAAATTGAGAAAATCCGTACTGATCATAATGGCTCTGATATGTTGATAAAGGCTTTACTAAGGGAGAAGCTTAGATTTGTTGGGTTGGGTTTCCCTCCATGTGGAGGATGGTCCAAAGTTCATCATTTTTTGGGTGAAGTCCATACGGAGTAAATCCCCTATGGAGTAAGGGCATTTCAATCATTTTTCCCATTATATGTTAAATGAGGGTTTTCCTCATTCATTTTCAACAAGTGAATCCCCTATGGAGTAAGGGCATTTCAGTCATTTTTTCTCTTTTCCTCATTCATTTTCAACAAGTGAGCTTAGAAGAGAGAGAAGAAGGAAGGGGAGAGGAGAAAATTCTGGGTTTTTGAAGCATTGTGCAGTCATCATCAAGAGCTCGATCGGATGGTCATTCGTGGTCCGATCGACCTCAAATTTTGACAGCAGGTTCGCTACACATGGTTCTTCATTCTGAACGATGTGATTGATGTTTGGAGTCATCTAACTCAGTTTTGCAAAACCGTCTTTGCTGCTTCTGTTTTGGTGAGATTTCTTCAATTTCTATTTTTTGGAGTTGATCTTGTTTATGATACTTGCCAAGAAAATTTTGTTTTTGATGATTGGTATTGTTGTATGCCTCTAGTTTTAACTAGAGAAGACTCTTGTGTTTTTCCATTATTTGTTGATAGTGGAAGCTTTGGGTGGACTACGGTCCAGTGGTTTTTTCTCCACGCAAAAAATTGATGATGCGTGTATTTGTGGTGCATTTGGTTGTTGATTTGGGATCTTAATAATTGCATTTAATGTGTTTGATATATTGTTATTTACTTGATTATTTCCTATTAGATTCACTCAAGAAGAGAAGAATTGTTTTGTTACGTTGTGCTTGATGATCGGTATCACCCGGTTTGTCTTTCTCCTCAATATTTAATATTCTGTTGTAAATAGACATAGGAAAGAGATGGCTTCAAGAGGTTGCCTAAGAAGCAGTTTTACATAAACACTTCTATTTTTCCTGCCTTGTCATGTGTTGACAAGGTCAACACTCCTAGTTGTGCCCCCCAAGACATTGACCAAGTGTGTCAGTCGACTTTACTTATGAGCACGTGTACTATGATTCTTCAGGAGCATAGTTGACTTTTATCCACTCAATTAGATGACCTATTTGGAGGGGCTTTTTCAATCTGAAATTTTAAGGATTTCTCAAGACGAATGAGCAGATTATTTTCAAAAGACAAAAAAATTAAAAATTTGAGTTTTCTGACACTTAGATTTAACCTTTTAAAAATTGGATGGTTTATGTTTGAACTTGGGATTTTTTTTTTTTAAGTGCTTAGAGAGTGCAATTAGGAAAAACAATTATTGAGGTTAAATGTATGTGTTACAGAGGTTATATCACCAAATATTGGGGTCCTAAAATTAATCTTAGGTGGGATTTTTTTCGGAGGTAGTAAATGGACAATATACTTCTATTTAATCTTATGGTTGTACTGTATTATATAGTGCATTTCGGCAGGTCTCTAAGAAGTGCCCTGACACGATTTACCTGTTTTATTACATCTTAAAAATCTCAAAAGTTTGGATCTGCGTTAGAACTGAAGGGTTCTTAATGGAGTGAATCATAAATGAAGGCCACGTTTCTTTGATGAATAATAAGAGGAAATCGATATATAGGTTACCTTGCTAACCTGTCAAAAATGTTTGCACGCCCAACAAGGTTTCAGCTCCCATTAGATTCAAAATAAAGATCGGTCGGTTTAAAAGTGAAGTACCCCCTGCCACAAGGACAAAGCCACTGCTGATTTATAAAATGGAAATAAATATAGGATTCGCAATGCATGATCACTCTTTTCCTTCCTTGACTAGAGTAGCTATCATGTTTAAAAGAGTTGAAATATCTGTATTTATAAGTAAATAGATATAGGTAATAAATATAAGATTCGCAATGTTTTCTTTCCTTGGTGAAGGACTAGTGCAGCTATCATGTTCAAAAGAGTTGAAATCTCCGTATTTATAAGTAAGTAGATATAAGTAAGGGTTTTGTTACGCTACTCCTATGCATGGCGTATATATTTAATGTATTCAATATTTTTGAACAATTGATCCCTTATCCTTGTAATAACTTTTTGTCTTGTGGTATTTTAAGTCAGGGTGTGGTTTCTAAAGGTTGAAACCTTAAACAATCCAATTAAGGCGCACTTACAAATTTTATCATAACATGTAATTTTGTTGTAAAAAATTCTTATGATTATCTTAAAATCTATTTTCATATCTAATTAAAAAATTTTAAATTTCAAAAATCCTGAAAATATATAAATCAAGTAGATCTATAAGTATATAAAAATCTTGAAAATAGACGGTCTAAATAATGTGCTGCAAGGTGCACTATTTTTGAGATTCAAAAACTTTTTTTTTTCATATTCATACATCTCGATGTTGAGATAATCAATTAGAGGATTCTTCAAAATTAAAACAACATTTCTAACAGATTTTTTAGGTGCATATGTGATTCCACATTTTAAAAGTTGCAACCTTATATAAAGTTTTCCCTTTAAGTAATTAGTTAAGGATAAAATAGAAATTTTAATAGAAACAAAAACATTATTAATTATAGTGGACAATAACATCACCAACATAATGAAACATTAATTATTTTTTAACTACTAATAAAATCCTACTAGTTTTTTTGTACTTACCTAGTGTTTTTTAGATCCCCTTAAATTCTTATTTTTAATTTTATTTTTACTACCAATTTGGATGGATCAACTCCTGATTTGGATAGACGATCCAATGATTGGCCACATATATGTGGGTCAACTATCCGCTCCACTAATTCGGGTTTTAAAATACACCTATTGCTAGACCTATTGGAATTGATAAGGGGATTGTAAAAATAATTTGTTGCTCTCCAATGAACCAAAATACATCTCTATGAGCCTGTGGTTCGGCTTCTGAGCCCCAAAAATGTGGGTTAGGATTTGCAGGTGTTATTTAGAGAGAGAGAAAGAGAGAGGACGTGCAGCTATTGGGTTTGCAGATTTACAACGCAAGATGAAGAGCAAAGGACGGGGAGATGGGGGATATATAAAGATGTGAAAGTATGTCATGGCCTAACGGGCAAAAGAGAAGTCGGAGGAAAGACAGGTTCAGGGAGAGGAGAATGTTTAAAGAGATAAGATCCAGGGATGAGAGAAAATGAATGCCTTAACTTTCTAATAAGTTGACCAAAAAGGGTCCTTTTTCTATCCAATAAGGTATGAAATATTTTAGGATGAAGTTCATGTAAAGTTCCCTATAGAAGCATGGCGCATCTTTAAATTTTACTTGGAGATCTAGTTTTACTGTCATAAATCTTATGATGGCATTAACATCTATTTTCATCTCTAGTTATGAAATTTAAAATTCTAAAAATGGTACATACTAAACAAATCTATAAACATTTAAAATCTTGAAAACATACATAAGCAATTTATCATAAGATGCACAATTTTTAGTATTTCAAATTCTTTTTTTTTTTCCGTTCTATCTATGCATCTTGAAGTCGTGATGATCAATTGGAAGGTTTTCTGACAACCAGAGTACTTTTTGAAGTGCACCTTATTTCAATAATATAAAGTTTGTATGTGAACGTTTTCTTTTAAATACAGTGGGAGTTGATTCAAAGAATAGGTAACAAGAAAACTTAAGAGGTTGGTTTATGTAAGTTTTCCTAATTCAAACTATATAAAAGAATTGGGACTTATGTCCATTATAATCCCTGGTTATTTCATATTTTATGTAGCTCGTATATAGTGCAATTCAAAAGCAAGGGTTTTGGTATGTCTCTACCATATCTATCCTAATGCATCCACCTTTCAAGATCCAGCTTGGAGATGGATTTTAAATTCAAAATTGTACAGGGTTCTCATAATCACAATGTCACGTCTCTATATTATTTTATTTTAATTTTTTCTACAAAATATTTTTTACACCAAATTTTGAGTGTCCACTCCTCTCTTAAACATGCACCGATAAAAAAATATAAAAACAATATTTCCAATAAAATAAAATGACCAAAATCCATCTAAAAGTTTCAGAACTATTTTAATCATTATGTTTTATCAAAAACATTTTTTTTAATATTCTTTTAGGTGCACCCTAACACCTACTAAATTTTATATTTATATAATTTTTAGAAAAAATTAAAAACAAAATAATCCGAAGCGACAAATCTTAGATCAAATGGTTTGTAGCTCACTTGATTTAAATTGGAGAGCTTTATGGGAAGAAATATATAAGGGGAAGTATAAAAACTTTTCCTTTGAAATAATCCAACTTGTCCATTTTTTTTGGATTGTTCCTCAAAAACTCATCAAATTTCTATCATCCAAATTCATGGATCCTCGATAACCGGGTATGCAGGACTCCACGAATAGAGATGTAAAACGCAATTATGTAACGGAACGATCACCCCAACTCTCAAAATGGAATTTGAAATTTTGAACACACGATCTCTCTAAAGGGCCCCAGAAAAAATCGTACATCTTTGAGCTTTGAAATTAATACTATAAGTGAGCTTAGAAAGCGCGTGTAGGATTCATGCGTACCTTCATTAATGAATTAGAGCTTCTGCCCTCTCAATTGATCTCTCTGTGCCACACTCAATTCTCAAACCCATTAACCATCCTTCCTCTTCTCCTGCAACAAAACCCATTTGAGTCGCCCATCTCAAGCATTTGAGAACCATTGAGCCAATGCCTCTTCTACCACTCCCCTCTCTTCCATCAACCTTCAATCCCTGCAACACTAAATCCCTGAGAAATCCCAAACCCAACACTCAACACCACTTCTATTATTCAGCAACAAAATTGAAACAAACCGAGGCAAAACCAACTCAACAAAACCCACTTCACAGAACCATGCAAACATCTTCACTAAATGAAAGACTGAACTTACTTTGTACCCAAGGCCAATGGCCTCAAGCGATTTCTCTTCTCTCTGCTAACCCTAAGGTGAATTCCCCAGTCTACTCTTCAACCTATGCCTGCCTAATTCAATATTGCATTGATTCTAACTGTATTGAGAAGGGCCAAATAGTCCAAGCTCACATGATCTCCAATGACTTTGAACCAGACACCTTCCTCCAAACCAAACTTATCATGCTCCAAGCTAGGTGTGGCAATGTAGCGTTCGCCCGCCGTCTATTTGACAATATGACCAAACCCAATTCAACAGCTTGGAATACCATGCTTATTGGGTATAGCAAAGCAGGTCATGATAACGAGGTGCTCGAACTCTTCTCCAAGATGCATAGGGCTGGGTGCCTACCAGACAGGTTTGGTTTTCCAGCCACCATTAAAGGATTTTCAGGGTTAGAAGATGAGACTGGCATTAAGCTGGCTCACGCACTTACCATAAAGACCAGTTTGAGTGAGAATTTCGCAGTGGGGAGCGGCCTGGTTGATGGGTATGCGAAAGTTGGGTTGATGGGTGATGCGTCACTTGCTTTTGAGGAGATTGGGGAGAAAAGTTTGGTTTCTTGGAATGCTTTGATAGGTGGGTATGTTAGGGCTGGACGGCCTGATGAAGCTTGGGAAGCCTTCAGTGAGATGCAAGCTCTCGGTATGGATCCAGACCACTTCACTTTGGCAAGTATGATTAAGGCTTGCGGTGCTTTGAAGTCTGTATTGAGAGGCGAGCAGGTGCATGGAAGAGTACTAGTTAGTGGATTTGGAAGAGACGTCTTCGTATCCAACTCTCTAATTGATATGTACGCAAAGCTTGGAAGCTTGGAAGCTTGTTTGCACGTATTTGATTCAATGCCTGAAAGGAACCAAGTGAGCTGGAATACCCTAATTTCAGCCCATGCGCAGCTCGGGTGGTTTGAGCAGGCTTTCTATCTCTTCGCAAGAATGCAGCAATCTGGTTTTGAGAGTGATCGCTTCAATATGGGAAGTATTCTCATGGCCTGTGCTGGTTTAGCCGCCAAGAAACCTGGTAGAGAGATACACAGCTACTTGATCAGAGGATTACTCGAATTGGACGTAGTTTTGGGGAGTGCTCTAGTAGACATGTACTCGAAGTGTGGCAGCCTGGAAGAAGCTCGCCGAGTTTTTGATAGAATGGGACAACGAAATGTTGTTTCATGGAATGCAATTATTGTTGGGTTTGTTCAGGTTGGGCAAGGGGAAGAAGCTCTCAATCTATATCATCAGATGAAACAAACAGGCACAGTACCTGATGAGTTCACATTTGCTAGTCTGTTGACCCTTTATACAGATGAAGGGAACCTCAACCAAGGTAAAGAAATCCATGCTCACATCATTAGAACAAGTGCTCAGCACCATCTAATCTTGGAAACAGCATTGGTAGACTTCTACGCGAAATGTAAGAGATTGAAGCAGGCTTATATTGTTTTTGATAGAATGCCTAAGAAGAATGCATACTCATGGAATGCCTTGATTGTGGCGTACCAACAACATGGCCATCCTGAGGAAGCCTTGAATCTCTTATTGTCAATGCAGCTTGCCAAAATAAAACCAGATTGCTTTTCACTCAATAGCATATTATATGCCTGTATGGATCTTTTTTATCTCAAAAGGGGGAAGCAAGTGCATGGGTTCTTAGTGAGAAACCTGCTAGAGGACCATGGGATCCTGCGGTGCACTCTTGTTGATATGTACTCAACATGTGGAAGAATAGATGATGCCTGTAGATTTTACCATAGCGTGGTAGGAAAGGATGTTTATTTACACAACGTCATGATTGCTTCATACGTTAATTGCAATAGAATCGAAGAAGCAAGGCAGATTTTTGATGAAATGGGGGAGAGAAACTCAGTCTCCTGGAATGCCATGCTCAGTGGATACACAAGCATTCAATCTGAAGTAGAAGCTTTGAGGCTTTTCAGTAGAATGATGGAAGGTGGTGTCGAATATGACAGCTCCACCTTGGTCACTCTATTTGATGCGTGTGCAGGCCTGGCAGCTCTGGAACAGGGAAAACTGTTACATGCCTGCATGATCAAGCAGGGATTTATGGAAGGCGTAGTTTTGGATAGTGCTCTACTCGATATGTATGCGAAATGTGGTGACATTGAAGCAGCTAAAAAAAAATTCCACCGAATGGTGGAAAGAAACACAATATCATGGAATGCCATGATAACAGGTTATGCAAAGCACGGGCAAGGCAGAGACGCCCTCATTTTATTTGATCAGATGCAACACAATGGAATTCACTTAAATCACATAACCTTCCTCTCTATTCTCTCTGCTTGCAGCCACACTGGGCTGATTGATGAGGGCTTGAAAATCTTCCTTACTATGATTGAAGAGCACGGGATTACTCCCAGAATCGAGCACTATAATTGCATGGTTGATCTTCTCAGTCGAGCTGGACACCTGGAAGATGCGTATGAAATCATCAGAACCATGCCTCTTGAACCAGATGTATCCACTTGGGGAGCATTATTAGGAGCATGTCGAGTTCATGGGAACGTGAGTTTAGGCAGGCATGTAGCTGGACAGTTATTCGAACTAGACCCGAAAAACCCAGGAAACTATGTTTTGCTTGCAAATATATTCGCTTCCAAAGGAAGATGGAAGGAAGCTGATGAGGTGAGGAAACTGATGAAAAGCAGAGGAGTAACAAAGGACCCAGGATTCAGCTGGATTGAAATTGATAAGGAGGTGCATATGTTTCGTGCAGGGGACTCTTCACACTTTAGATACAAGGAGATACGAACAACACTTGAGTGTTTACTTCCAGGAATGAAGGAAATGGGGTATATACCAGATACTAGCTATGTGCTTCATGATGTTAAGGAAGAGGAAAAGCTAGGTTTTGCTGCTTCGATGCAGTGAGAGGCTGGCAATAGCCCTACTAAGAACAACAATCATGGTATTCAAGAAATTGCCCATCCATGAACACTGCCATTCTGCAAAGGAGGGATCTAAACCACTTCAATCACTTTGAAGATGGGACTTCTGTTAAGTTTGGACCATAGAGGTTGAGGGCATCTCGTGGGTTTATCTGGTGCTAAAGTTTATAAATGCTCTTCTTAGCCTTGCAAACCACAAATACCAGAACTTCCCTTTCAGGTTTGCTCCCACCTTGGGAATTGAAGCTTTCATTACGCTTCTGCAAAGTGCAAACTAAGGAATAAATATCAGATGCAAAACCTTGCACTTGCTTGGCTTGAGAGGGTGGTAGTGACCTGGCATCAAATAATAGTAATTTGACCAAGTTCCCCACTGATGAGGACTTTCTGTTGGTGAAGTACCAACACTTCTCAAGACAAGATGTTTATTAGCTTGTGTTAATCAAAGGAATATTTATAGATACACATAAAAACCTCAACAAAAAAAGAAAAATTAAAACTATCACAGAATTATCTGGTGCACACTTGCAGTTTTAGTAAATCATAAATAAAACTACTGTGACCCTACCAGCTGTAGGTAGAAACCAAGAGGAATGGGTGTGGTGGAATGTCTACGAAGTGAGCAATATGAAAAAACCATACACAGGCTGCAGAGACCCTGCTAGTGCAACATTCCCTTCACTTGGTTAAGGCAGTTTACATGACACTGATTGATCGCTTGGGACCATCACAATTTGTAAATGTCAATCTCATGAGAGAACTTTGTACAATGCCAGATGTATTCGTCGCTGACAGTTGTAAAGATGAAATGGCAAAACAGAAGCTATATGTTAAACAGAAGCAGACAAATGATAAAGGAGCCACTATTGCAAATATAAAACCTTCACTATACTCGCCATAGGTAACATTTCAAATTTCAAATGACTGGCAACTCGTCAGGAAAATTAGTTGACAGCTTGTACATTGACAAATTAAATGTGCAAAGAAGTGTATCCTGTGAATGCTACCAATGCACTCACCTGCAGATCTGAGTGCATTCTGCCACCAGAATAGGGGCATGTGTAATCATGGGAACATTAAAGCTAGAGAATTCAACATGTGATAATATGAATGAGACGGGGTAATAATATTATGCTATTCTACACTCAAGGGCTCCAGAAAAAGTTCTAGAAAGAAAAGGGACTCAACAGTGATTCCTCAAGTTCTCGGAAGCCTCTAAAAACATGCTCAATTTGGCTTTGAGGAAGTGTCAGCCGTCGAACCTCCGTCATAAACCTGCAAACATTTTGTTCATGAAAGTTTGATACTTTGCCCTACTAATATCATCCAAAAAAAAAAAAACACATAAGGTTATCCTCCTATTTATGTACAAAAAAAAGGTGAGGATATCCGCAGCAGGTGGCGTAGGTTGCCATTTGTTCATGATCAGATCAAAATCCAAAGGGGTGGGAGGGGGGGGGCGAAGGTCGTTGGGAGAGAGAGCTGACCTGTTTGCTGCACTTGTGATCTTGTCTGTGACTCCTTGATTTAGAACTGTAGTTCGCTGCAAGCTGAGGGTGCCACCAAGAATGAGAGAGGCTCCTGTTGGGCTTGTCCCCATTCTCTGTGCAAGTAATGACATTGCCCATTCACGAAGTATAACAAGCACGGACTGCAGAAAACGCAAGCGCAAATTCTGTGAAGGCAATATAGCACCATTCAATAGAATACGTTCATATGTGCTTAAAACAGGCTCAGCTGCACCCTTGCAAGCTGCAAGTAGTGCCCTTGCAACATCCTCGTCCCCGACAAGCTCAATACCTGAATGCAACCTCTCCTGCACAAAGGGAAACTATCATTCAGTGATCACATATCTCAACTATAGCATGCACCTGCTTTGCAGGTCTCATTAAAATGGTATACATAATGTTAATTCATAGGAATAGCATTGAGAGATAATAAAGTACATGAGAAAAAATGGCAGCCCATCTTTTCATGTTATTAACACATTTATCTAGCGAAATGATTAATTTGTTTATGTGATATTGTATAATAGTGCATAACATTCAATATAGCATATTCAATAATGTAAAGAGGACATTTATTTTAATAATTTAGTTATATCAATTATAATTATATTTAGCAATTATAGCATAAATAAATGGAAAATTGTTTCATGTGGGCTGGACCGCATTTCTACATATGCGGTCGAAAAAGTCTAAAGCATCCATCTTTAAGATTGATGCCAGTAGGTGTTCCATCTAAAAACAATGGAAACTAATGGTCCAAATGTTTTCTTACCAGAATTAGTATTTCTAGTTTTTAAAAGTTATTTACTTTTTCATATTCATGATCTCCATGTTAGAGATTACATGTCCTTAAAAATTAAGTCTTAAAATCCATCTAAAAAATAGGCTTATTAAGAGGCTTGCATTTCTACATATGCAGGCTTGGCCGCATAGAAACCGGGTCCTAAATAAATTAATAGTATACAACTAATATTACTATTGTAATTGCGTAAATAAAACAAATAATCTTAATAAGAATAATATTATACTATAAAGTTATAGTGATGATAATTTTGTTACTAATAATATAGGGAAATGATCTAATGCAACGGTTGTTTAGTAGTATAATGCAACTACACCTCTAGAAAACCATATTTTTGGCATTTATATGACCCCAAATTTTGCACACACATTCTCTTCATCCTCATAATCAATCCTACGAAAAAAATTCAATTTGCACCCTAGATATGGTCAAATTAGTACCCATCCAACAAGGAATCTCGACCATCCATTTGGTGAATTTCAAGATCTAGGCCTTAACAAATTCAAAATCATTTTTTTATTTTTTAGCATTATTAATCTAATGATGATAACGCTATATAAAAACTTTGGGAATAAAAAAATCCCTCTGGGGCCTATATCTAATCATCTCAATAAAATGGACGGCTTATATTAATTGGGCTAGAATGAAAACTTTCTTGCATTATACTACTATACAACTGTTGCATGGAATCATTCCCCAATAATATATCATCTCTTAATTAGTTAGATAAGACATGTGATTATAATTATTTTACAAAATATTATAATATTTATTACAATATCACAATCATATTACTAAATTGCAAGATTGCTTCTTTTTTAATGGAAAAAAAATCAGTGACACTAAAAACATCAATGAAAATAAAAGAAGGGATATTAGTACATGATCCAATTTATATCTATGATAACTATTACTATTATAATAATTTCAAATGAAAGGCTTCTAATAATATAAAAATTAATTATTATCATATTAGTTATTAATGATGAATAATACTATAGATTACTATAAAAATCTAATTGTTTCAATAATTTCATTACTTTGTAACAAAATTATAAAATTTCATTTAAATAATGAGAATTGATTAAATAATATTTCACTATAATTTTCATAATTAATTAATAATACTGTAGAATTATCATAATTCAAATTAATGAAATTAAAACTAATTATGAATAATTCTTAGATGTTTTAATTACGAATTATACTATTTATTTCAATAAAAACAATCAACTATAATAACACACGTTATTATTGATGAATAATATTATATAATTGTCATATTTTTACTAATCAGAATTTTTATTATAATAATAATTTATTGCATTATATGATGAATTATTATTTATTTATCATTCTATTAATTAAGAATATAATATACAATTATTTTAATAAAAATAAGTTATTGTTATTAATATTTATATTCTATAAGCATAATTCCATTATAATATTCTATAGTTAATTTATTACAATTATATTAATAATGCTGATATTATATCTACTACAATAATTAACAGATTTTTATAAATATATAATCATGAGATTCAGATTTTTCGATAAAAGAAGAATATTGTGATGAAAGCTCAGAAAATGAAAGGAGATAGCTCATAAAATGAAAGAAGCTATATAAATGCCTTTTCCAAATCTAATCTACTTAAACTTCCAGGACAAAAACTTATTACAAGAGACCTACTCCACGTGGCATCTAATTTGAAGGAAAAGTTGATATAATTGCAATGTCTTTTGCAGAAGATGCTATATTATAAATTATTGTTGAAAAAATAATTTCCTTAAAATACAAGTTATAAATAGAATTCTAATAATAGTATGAAGTTTAACATGCTATGTAAACTACTTGTTTTTTCAAAAGTTGGAACTACAATTTCAGTGAAATAAAATTAATATTCCTTATGTTTCTTCTTTCTTCTTCTTTTTTAAATAACTCTTCTGTTCCTTTTATATTTCATATTTTCATTTTTCTATTTTCAAGAATAAAATTAACTTGAATAAAATATTTACTAATGTCATTCAAAATAATTTCATAAGACAGAAAAATAATAAACCAAAATACAAATTATATAGGTAAATAATAAAATTGAAATTATAGTTATTATAAATAATTTCAAGTCAAAGGCTTCTAATAATAGAAAAATTAATTGTCATCATATTAATTGCTAATGATGAATAAAACTATAAATCAATAAAAAAACCTAATGGTTACAATACTTTCATTACTTAGTAATAAATTTATCGAATTTTAATTAAACAATTATAATTGATTATATAATGTTTAGTATAATTTTCATTGTTAATTGAAAATACTGTAGAATTATTATAATTCAAATTAAAGAAATCAAAATTAACTATGAATCACGCTTGGTTTTTTAGAGTACAAATCAAACTATTCTTTTTAGAGTACAAATCAAACTATGCATTGCAATAAACAACCAACTACAATAACATGTCATATCATCAATGAATAATATTATATAATTGTTATTTTCACAATTTAGAATTTCTTGTTACAATAATAATTTATTTTTATCATATGATGAAAATATGAATATTTATTTATCATTCAATTAATTAATTAGGAATACCATTAATTAATTAAGAATGCCATATATTTATTGTAATTTGTAATTGTAATTATTGCAATAAAAATAAGTTATTCTATAGTTAATTTATTAACAATTATATTAATAATATGATATAACATAGGTTCAGGATTCATGAAAAGATGTGGCAAAGTTTTACGGTGGCTCCCTACCTAATGCAAGCCACCTCCTTTACCCGGGTTTGAGACCGGTTAAGGAAAAGTTTAAAGTTTAAGGTCCTCATCTCCAGAATCCAAAGGTTTTAAAATTAGCCGGACAAAGACAGAATATATGAAATGCAAGATTAGTAATAATAGAAGTAGAAATGAAGAAGTAGTTAACATTGATGATCAAGAAATACCCAAAAGAGATTGTTTCTGACATCGAGGGTCGATAATCCAGGAGAATTGAGAGATTGAGGAAGATGTTGCACATAAAATTAGAGAGGATTAGGCGAAGTGGAGATGTGCATCCAGAGTTTTATGTGACCGTCGCATACCATTGAGAATGAAGGGGAAGTTCTATAAGACAGTTGTAAGAGCAGCCATGTTTTATGGGACGAAATATTGGGCGGTCAAGAAACAACATATCCATAGAATGACTAAATGGCATAGAGGAGATAATTGATGGGTAAAAGTGGAACTTTATTTTTTTAAAAGATGAATGGTTGGGATCTAATTAGGGTTTCTTAGGAAAAAAGTTAGGTTTCTAGGGTTGTTTTCTTTTTTAAATATATGATTCTTGGATAAAAAAAGATAGAGTGAAGAGAATAGAATTATATTTTGTCTTATGAAGAGATCGTTTTAGGGTGGGCTTCCTTGGGAGAGTATAATCTCTCATTCTTTATTTTTATATGCTTGTTCTTATTTCCTTATTATTTTTAACCTTGCTCCCTATGTCACTCTCTCTATAAACTAGCACGGTATGAGTGCATGAAATAAGATGATCTCAAGTGAGAGATTGTTCCCCTATTCATAGGCTTTAGTTAATAATGAATAGAAACTTTCGTGTGAGGATCATTTAGGATCATCCGTCCCCAAGGAATGCTATGAAGTGAAATAGGCTTGATCCTAGCCATCCATTCTCCTGTTGGTTATTATATTCAAGGCTGAAAATTAACATCATTATCCATTGACCAAATTTAATCCCAAATTTCCCTCCAATTTTGAATTCAAATTTACCCACAAATGAACATGAGGATGTTGAGATAAATGAGTGGCAAGACAAGAAAGGATAGAATTAGAAATAAAACATACGACAGAACTTAAGTGTTGCTTCAATAGGAGGTAAGATGAGGGAAAGTCGACTTAGATGGGCCGGCAATGTGCAGCGTAGACTTAATACAACACCTTTTAGGATGTGTGATTTGGTTCAAGTGGAAGGTTCTATAAAGGCAAGGGGAAGACCCAAAAGGACATGCATAGAAGTAGAGAAAAGACATGATGACTTTTGGTCTTACTGAGAGTATGGCTCTTGATAAACAAGAATGTAGAAACAAGATTCATGTAGCTGACCCCAATTAACTGGAATAAGGCTTGGATGACGATGATGATTAATAGTATTATAATAAATTAAAATACAATATACATTATATTTATTATAATTATTAGCAATTTTTATAAAATATAATTATGATAGGATGCGGTTTGTATAAAGCCGAGGCTCTAAACAATCAAAGTAGAGCGCACCTTCAAATGGTGTCGAAAAATGTGGTTTCAATATCGAAAATTTTTGTGATAGCCTTAAAATATATTTTCATCACTAATTATAAAATTTAAAGCTTCAAAAATAGTGTAGATCGAGCAGATCTGTGAAAACTTGAAAATATTGAAAATTGAAGGTCAAAAAATGGGGTACAAGATGTACTATTTCTAAAACTTGAAATCCGATTTTTTTTCTCATGTCCATG